GGCCGGGGGTGGGGTTGGACGACAGTGGCCGGTAATGGTGGCCAGCGGATGGTGGCTGGTTGCTGGTGGCGGTGGTGGTGGCTAGATATGGACTTGTGGCATAGTATGCTTGTCTTAGGAGTGGCATTGTGCGTAATTTTGATATTTTTTAATAATATTTTTGTAAAATTAAGTACTATATTTGGTCTTTAGTCTTATGCTAATTAGATGAAATTGTATTTCTATCTTCCAAATTAGTAAACTGTATTGTGTTTTAAAACTAAAGCTCCTTATAATCTATGCAGACTCTCCATCTTGTAACAGTTCTTGTTGGGACAAACTCATTATTTTCATTTTTTACGACAATCATCCTTCCCTTTTTTGGCATAACCTTTGTAGTATTCACCCAACTACTATCAGATATAACATAAATAGTACATGCATGAAGCAATTTTAATACCTCTGCATGAACCAAGGATTAAAATATCGGCCGTGCAGATAATATCGGCCTCCAATTTACGGATATTTAAGGGGATATATCGTTATCGTTTTAGGTATCAGGAAAAAATCAACAAAAATGACAGATATAGGCATTAAAACACATAATTTTGGTATAAAACTTTCATAGATGTTATGTACATTATCAATGAATGTATTGAACAAATAAAACTCAAAATTTACTAATAATAAGATATACATATGATGAAATATAAGTGGTATGTAATGCGCTTTAATGAAAAGTTTGAAAATAAAATGTTAATTAGAATGAATAAACCATGCATAAATCCATAATTTGTTTAAACATTGAATTACAATTTAGATAAGTGTCCATCTACATAAATGAAGAGCTCCTATGAGGTTCAAATAATGACAAATAACCATCTAGATTCATACAATAGTCATACCAAGTCAAGTAACCGGAGCAGTTTGTAAGTCATGTTTGAATATGATGCACATAGGTCTCTCTTGAGCTCCCTATTTTCCTCTCATATATGGGATAGTTAGGATTATCCAACTAGTAGCTCCATAACCTGTTTTATCATCTTGAGCTCCATAACTAGTTCCACTATAATCAGACATGACATAACTATAGTCATCATAAGATTCGTTTGAATTAGTATTAGGTCTAATTCCTATGCTCATAGATCCAAAACTGATCGTCATATCCTCTTCAGATTGATTAAAGGTATGTGGGCAGTAGACTATACATAGATTCTTCATATTAATAAATTATTGGGTTATGGGCAAGGATTAGCTATTTTTGGGTTTTAATTTGCTTCAATTGCCTTCAAAACTTCTGATTATTTTTTGGGTTATGTTATGGGTATCGGGAAATATCGGGGATATCGACAAAATATCGGGGATATCACACTTATCGGGGATATATCGTCGATACAAGGAAAGATATAGCCTTACCCCTCAATATCGGTGTCGACAGTTGAAAATACCGATATATCGACAGATATATCGGTGCATCGGCCGATATTTCAATCCTTGGCATGAACCACTTCTTTCATGTTGAAGTTCAATTGGTGTTAATATTCCACGGATGGCTTATGCTCCTCTTCCATTAGTATTCGGTGCATACACATAGAATAACTAATACCTTTGATGTCAGCGATCGTCTAACCAATTGTAGTTTTATGATTTCGCAAAACCCGTAACACTTTTTCTTCTTCAGTTTCACTCAAATTTGCAGCAATAATAACTGGTAAAGTTTTATAAGTTCCCAAATATGCATACCTCAAATGCATTGGCAATGGTTTCAGAGTGCTGCTCCTAGTGGTTCAAACTGATTCCTTCGCCTCGAGTTGTACGGTTGTGATGCATCCAAGGCATATTCAACAACCATTGGGTTGTCATTTTGGGAGGTAGTAGCATAGACCAATGTAGATTCCAATGGATGGCTCATATTCTCCTTTTCAAATGTGTCAGAAGCAATTTCATCAACTAATTCTATGCGAAAACAATCCTTCACTTCTCTTGGAAATTTCATTGCTTTCAAAAACATTGAATGTCGTTTTTTCATCCTAACTCTCAAAGTTAGTAACCCTTTTTCTACGTCAATTAGATAGCGTGAAGTAATCAGGAATAGGCGGCCCAAAATTAGTTATGTGTCAGAATCTTCTTCCATATCCGAAACCAAAAAATCTGCCGGAAATATGAGTGTATCAACCTTTACTAGAACATCTTCAATAATTCCGTCTGGATATTTGATTGATCTGTCTGCCATTTGCAAAGAAACAATAATGGGTTTAATTTCATCAATACCAATCCCTTTAGCAACAGATGAAAATAGTAAGTTAATGAAATCACATAAAGCTCTTTCAAAGAAATTATTTCCAATAGTGGATAGAATTTTAAAACGCCCTCTATCTTTTTGCTTTGGTGGAAACTTTTGTTGTAGGATGGCACTGCACTTTCCAGTCAGTTGGATTTTCTCGTGCTCGCCAAATGTCCTTTTCTTCGAGGGGATGTCTTTCTTGAATTTTGCATAACTTGGCATTTGTTCTAAAGCTTCGGCTAAAGGATATATGCAACTTTTTGAACATCTCCAAAAGTTTCGAAAATTGCCCATCAAATTTATTTTTCCTCAACCTCTACGGAAAAAGAATTGGGACATATGGCTTCAATGGAGGAGAAGGAATCGGTATAGAATTTCTTCTTCTTGGGATTTTTCAGTGATGGCTTGTGGGGTGGTGAGTGGCAATTTAGCTGCAAGTTCTTCATCTGCAACAGACTTCTCGGCTTCTTTCTCTTTTTCATATTTTTCTCTTTTCAAGTCGATTGATGTATTTACTTGCTTCCCTTTCCGAAGAGTGATTGTCTTTGCTTGTTCTTGATTTTTTATGTTAACTTTGGGTTGGCTCTTCAATACTCATTGGTTTCCCCTACTCATTACATTAGTTGGCCTACTTGCACCTCCAAATTCCGAACATAAGCATTCTGATTTTAAAGTTCGGTTTTTGTTTTGGTTATATGTTTTGTGTTTGTTAGATTCAGGGGGAGAATATGTTCTGTAGATCTTTTAAAATCTTCTGCGAATATATCTTTTGTGCTTCACTGGTAGTTTGTTCTTGTGCAGATAAATGCAATCCTTTGGAACGGCAATTAGTTCTTTTTCATTGGGAATTTTGTCTAGACAATGCCAAAGGGGGAGATTGAAAGTGTATTTTTAGTTGGCTATTTCCTAGCAAATGTAAAGAGTCTGTAAGTTGGTTATTCCTAGATAAGGAAAATGTTTAAATAAGGAAGAGGTGTGAAGTCTATACAAATATGCATAGAGTCTTAAATAAGGAAGAGGTTTAAATAAGGCCAATCTCTTTGTTTATTAGGTAAAAGAGTTAACCTAGTATATAAAAGGTTGGGCTGGAAGTTTTTCTTTTTGGACCTCCATTTTGCACTCTAATCAAAATTGTGAGATTGTTTTATAAAATCAAGGGAGAGAGATAAAAGGCTATTAGGTTCTTAGATTTATCTAGGTGATAGTCTGAGAGCATAACATATCATTCATTCATCATGGAACGTTGTGGAAGCTTTGCTTGTGAGGAAGATCAACCTGCGTGAATTGGTGTTCATCCAAGAGAAAGTGAAGAGAACATGTTCGTACAAGACAAGAGTATTTGATCAATCTTCTTTTGTGGTGTAAGAAAGTATCAATTGAGTCTTATATATGTCCTTAATTTTTTAGTGAAATTGGCTATGTGCCTTGAGGTTTTTCTCTCCTGTGTGGAGGGTTTTTTCCTAGTGCGAGATTTCGTACAAATACTTTGTCTTTGTTTATTTTCTCAGTATGTTGTGTTTTGATTTTTGCTGTGTAGTACAAGGATTGAATCACATATCAATCCTGCATATTGCATTTTAACATTGATCCATCCAGGTTTACAATTACACAATTTAAACAAACATTAAACATTCCAACTAGTCTCAGTTGTTCTATTTGAACAAGCGGTAGATTTCATTCCTACTTTTTACCACAACGCCTGTTGGATAAAAGACAATAAAAGAATAAATTAAAATAAATACATCATAAAAATAAAACAAGCAATTATTATATATATAAAAATGTGCATACAAGTGGGACACATTACCATAACCACTACTATCACCATCACCAGTGTTAGAAGTGGTTTCCTGAATTCTATTGCTGCATCCATTCCAATGTCTCGCGTGATGGTTAAACCGATGTGGTTTCCTATATTTTGTGCACAATTTCAAACATCACGTGCTGCCTGGCGCTGACAACGACGGGCATCCTTTTTGCGATTATCGGCACGGATCAGTTCTGAGATTCTAGCTATTCGTAGAGAGAGAGAGTGTGTGTGTGTGTGAGAGAGAGAGAGAGAGAGAGAGAGAGATAGAGACTGAGACAAAGATAGAGAGAGACATAGAGAGATAGAGAGACAGAGAGAGATTTTCTGTTTATTTCAATATTATGTATAGGCTTTCCCTTTGTGTTAGCTATGTCCAAACCTTTTAATAAGCTAACACTGTAATAAAACAACAACAATTAATATATTACTAATATACTTACAAAATCATAATTAAAATAGGAACATAAGTCCTATTTTCACGAGACACAAAAACTATATCATTTTTATCTTTTTAAATTATAAAATGTAAAAATATTAAAACTGAACATATTCATTAAATTGGAGAAATATAGTAAATATGTTTCGTCTATCTGTTGCTCGATAAATATGTGTGTTGTCACTATTGCGTGTTATTAAGGTTTTGATTTTGAATCAAGAGACTGAAGTTATGGTGTCATACTCATACACTCACAACATAATGGAGGGGTGGTTTGAAATGTGATTAAATGGTTATAGTTATATGATTAATCACCTCTCCACCATATTTACCGTGGTAGACGTTTGATGGTAAACCATCACTTCTACGACACTCACAAATGAGGAAAGTAACACCACAAATCTAACCACAACTATAGGATAACC